GATCTGGTGTGATAAATACATATGTACGGGATAGGTGGTCATGGCTTCTTCGGCACTTGCAACTCATTGAAATGGATCAACCCGGTGTGGGTTCATTAGGTATAAATAAAGAGGTAGGATGAAGTTAGGGGAAGACATGTAGGGTGTATGAGGATGATGCTGCTGATGATGGTGGTAGTAATGGTGACGGCAGCGGCGATTTCCCCTTTAGCAGAATGCCTCTATCAGCATGTAGGGGAAAATCACGACGCATGCGGTCCAGAAAACCATGATGCATTTCAGGAAGGCCAGAGGCAGCATGTAAAAGGGGTGCTCGGTGATGACGAGCCAGAGAGAGAGAAAGGCGACACTGAAGAAATGCCAGAATAGAACGTCGGGCTTTTTTATCAGTCCACCTAGAAGACCTATGGGGCCGCTGGTCATTCCTAGCTCGAAGTAACGGAAGCAGCCTCGTTGAAGAGCACGCAAATTTTCGTCTAGATTTGCCCCAGAGAGGGGTCTGGAGTTAGCTGCTGGGACTCTGGGTGCAATGGGGGAAGGATAAACAAACCGTTGGCAGCGAACAGGGCATATAGAGCCTGCGCTAAGATGTTGATGACTGAAGATGCTTTCTTCCGTTGCCAATGGAACGAGGACAGCTGTCGCAGGACTTGCTCATGATTAGCGAGAGTGGGGACTTTCTCCGGGCTGAGCAGGTCACGTAGGACCACGACGTCGTTGAATGCGACGGTCATTCCTCCACCGGTCAGCGGATGCCGCATGTTGAGCGCATCTCCCAGAATGACCAGACCGGGAGTCTTGTTCGGCGCACTAGGAAGATATGAGTTGGGCATGGATCGCAGCTGACCCTTGTCCAACGCAGCAACGAATGAAGGCTGAATAGATTTGGGAAGAGACGGGAGAACGACGTTGCGAAGGTGGTTCTTGACACCGCCGTTCTTGACGGAGGCCGATGGGAGGTTTTCTGGGATGTCGATGAGAATGCGGGTTTCGTGGGTGCCAATCTGGTAGACGAGGATAGGGGCATTGTCGCTGAGGAGGACGTGGCCATGGTAAGGCATGGGAAGGTCTGCATCGATCAACTCCAAGCCCCAGAACCTGGACCGGACCTTAGGGGTGTTGGAGTGGTATTGCTTGCGGAATTTCGAGGCGTAGCCATCTGCCACCACCGTAAGATGGCCGAAGTAGCAATCCTTCATGTCGCCGGTCACACACTCGACACCAAGAACCTGCTTGGTGTGGGAGCAAGTGACCAAGTCGGTGGCCTTGGTCTCTACGACCGTGACGTGGGGACAGGCCAGCGCGGCAGCCCGCAGCTTCATGACGAAGCGGCCATGGTGGAAACAACGCCCTTGCGGGGCGGGCGACGACGAAGATGGCTTGGGGTAGGCGAACGAGACGGGTTTCCCAAAGTACGACACATAGTAGCCCTTGGCTGGGATGGCGTCAATGTCTTCCAGACAATCGGCAAGACCCAGTTTCTCGAGCGCCTCGACACCACCAGGCTGTAGCAATTCTCCGACAATTCGGTCAGGCTCCTTCATGGACGCCTCCAACAGTAGGACGCTACGCCCTTGTCTTCCAAGTGCCACCGCCAATGCACATCCCAATATTCCAGCGCCCACAATCACGACATCGGCATGGTGGTGAATTAGCCTGCGCTGTTTGGCGACATCGGCAGAGGGGGTGGTATGGCCATTGGCGACAACAGCGGCGGCCATTTTTGCGGGAGACGGGGGGGGGTTCGCGGAGGTGGAAAGTCAAGGGAGGTCAGGATCGAGAGGACAAGGAAGAATGGCGGGATGCAAAGGGCATATTTCGATGGCTGTGAATCGGAGGAGGAAGATGGAGGGTAAATAATGCTGCGAAGAACAAGCAGGCAGCAATGAGGCAGGGATGAGGGAGAAAAAGTGTTGGAAAGTTGGAGAGTTTGGATTGACACAAGGGGAGTGGCGTGACATGTGAAAAAGGGACAAAAAGGGCGCCGCGCGGGAGAAAGAGGAAAGAGCAGCTTATGGCCTGATATGATACTTCCTTCCTGTTCAACCCTCCGCTACTAAACTAGTTTCTGATAGTGATCAATCTAGACCATTGAAAGGATTCTCTTTGTATTTCTTTTACGGTAGTCTGTGTTTAATGTTGAATATCGCATATGATACCATTTTCTAGTCAACGACCATTTAGGACATTTGATCTTAGTAGTCAGTTGGCACTTACGTTGGAGAAAAAAAATGAATAAAAACAAAAAAAAATAGAATAAATATAACAAATACTGTAGATCCTCTGATACAAAGTATTTTTAACTAAGAGCTAACTATTTAGCCTGGGCGGTATCTGTAGGACAAAGTAATTAGGAGCCTCCTTGAGGCCGTTGGAGCGCCTATTAGTAGTATCAATCTTCCGCCGCTTTTCTCCCCCATTTCTGGTGCCGCTCTAAATAAGCCATAGACCTTTTGAGGCATACACTATCATGATGTTGCATATCGTTATATTTCGAAAAATAGTCAATCACATGATCCTTCACAAAAGTGTGGTAATTTTGTATCTAGTTTAGGTAGTCAGCCTCAGGCATTTCAGGCCCAGCGGACGCCGATGCCAAGCACCTGACGTCTGAACATCTTTCGAATGAAGCCGCGACATTTCCCCATCTTCATTGAACCCGCTACAAACAAAATCTCTCCTACAACGCGCATCTTGCTGTGAGACATGTGTCAATAGCATCATATTCTACAACTCTCCCCGGAAAGGATACTCCTTCCCAGAACCACGTCACAGTTGGACAATCTCCGCCCTCCGCATCGCATCGCATCCATCGCATCTCATTTCCTTCTCATCCAGCCATGAACAACGACCAATTCCGTCGCCTTGTCTTCGACAACCCTTCCTCCAAACCCGCCGGCCAATCCACCAGTCCAGATGCATCCTCTTCATCCCAACAACAACCACGCAAAAGTATCGGCAATGCGACCCCCGCAGCCGGCGCTCTGGGCTCGCGCCTCCGCTCCAGCATCCCCATGACACCGTGAGCTGATCCCCCCAAACACCACCTGCGCTTATAACCTTACCTTTATTTTACATGGTTGACCTTACTAACGAACCCCCTTTTCGTCGCAGTCGCGCCTTAACAAACGTCGACTTTGCGCGCCAACTAGCCGAATACCGCCGCGAAGCCCAACCCGCTTCCAAGAAGTTCAAATCCTCCGCCGCCCCCAAGGGAACGAAACTACCGTCCGGATATCAAGATCGGGCTGCATTGTTGCGCCAGAAGGAAGAAGCGGAAGAAGGGGGAGATGGCGGTGGCGATGTGTCGGATCTGGAGAAGCGCGTCAAGGCGTTGGAGGAGATGGTCAAGCTAGGACAGATTGACCAGGCGACGTTTGAGAATCTGCGTGCCGAGATGGGGGTGGGTGGGGACTTGAAAAGTACGCATATGATTAAGGGGTTGGATTGGGAGTTGCTGAGGAGGGTTAAGGGGGGTGAGGATGTTGATGTCTTGGAGAAGGAAGGGGAGAAGGGTGAGGGGAAGGAGAAAGAAGATGTGGCAGATGTGGATGAGGAGTTGGATCGGGTGTTGGGAGAAAAGGGCGAGGGGGTGGATGCATTGTCTGCTGCCCCGAAGGAGAATAAGGAGAAGAAGAAGGGCGTCATGGCTCAGAGAAAATCAAGAGACGAGATCCTCAGGGAGTTGAAGGCTAGTCGGGCTGCTGCTGCGGCTGAGGCGGCGAAGCCGGCTGAGCCTGCGTTGGGGACTAAGTTTAAGAGGATTGGGGGAGAGTCTAAGGCGGAGAAGAAGCGGTGGGTGGAGCAGGATGAGAATGGGCGACGGAAGGAGATTCTGCAGATCACGGATGCGGAGGGCAAGATGAAGAGGAAGGTGAGATGGTTAGACAAGCCTGGTGAGGTTCGTGGTGGTGATGGACCTGCTGGGTTATTGATGCCGGACAAGGATGCGAAGCCGCTGGGCATGGAGGTTCCAGCAGAGGTTGCATTCAAGGCTCCCGCGCCGGCGGAGGATGATGACGACGATGATATTTTTGCTGGCGTCGGAGATGACTATAACCCGCTTGGTGATCTACCAGATGATGACGATTCGTCCGATGAGAGTGAAGATGGCGAGAAGCCAAAGGCCACGGAACCAGCTCCTGCTGGTGATACGAAGAAACCGGAGATGACAACCAGCCGGCCTCGAAATTACTTTTCTACATCTACGACGGATGAAGTTCCTGAGGTGGACCGGTCGAACCCGTTGGCTAAAGATCCTACTCTACTGGCGGCCCTGAAACGGGCTGCTGCGTTACGACAATCCGAGGAGGCTGGTGCTGCCAATGCTGATGCTGAAGATGTCGACGACGAGACGGCGCTTCGACGAAAGAGGTTCCTGGAGGAGGCGCGTCGGCGGGAAGCCCTGGATGCGATGGATATGGACATGGGCTTTGGAGGAAGCCGCAATGACGATGACGAGGAGGACGAAGAGGTAGTGCTGGAGAACGAGGGACGCGGCGGGAAGAAGAGGAAACGAGGGCCGAAGAAGAAGAAGGGCGACAAGGACAGTGTGACGGATGTGATGCGTGTGCTGGAGGGGAGGAAAAAGGAGTGATGTTGAGATGAGCAGATTATACACGAGTTATCAGGGGTGGTGCCTGGAAAGGAAACCAACCAAGATGCCTGGTAAAAACGACTATCACACCTGGACCATTTTCTGGACCGCTGTTACCCTACAGTGATCGCTGCATCGTACCGGAAACCAGAAAGGAATCCCGTGGGACTCAATTCCTTCAGGAGCAGCAAGCGAGATGCTATCACGAGCTTTAAGTGCAGTAGGTCGCCTTCCACAGGAGCTCATCTGCACATTATCTATGACCTACGACCTACACACACATACAATATGAAAGGCTGAGATGGTACATTGAGTATCCCCCCATCAATCCCACATCAGAGGATCATAAATAGTGCACTACCCTCTATATCTCCTACCCAGCCTCCGATAGGTTTCTACCGAAATCAACAAACATGTTAGGATATAAACTCCACCTCAACAATTACCATTCAGCTAGTATGACACATCGCACCATAATTTCCAACCACTCATCCTTCAACTCCTATTATACACCCCCAAATCACCAGACCAAACCACCCCAAGAACAACCAAGTATATTCTTCACGGGTAGCACAGCACACTATCGACATAAACCGGCTCCGACGAGGTATGTTCACCAGGCTGCAGGAGGGTGTTTCGTCCGGTGCAGCCTACTCCACTATAGAAACATGTTCGAGTCAGTATACACTATACAGCCGCCTAGGCAAGTGAGGAAAGAAATCACACTTACGTGAAAAGACGACACGTCTTGGAGAGGAACACGCCTCGAACTTCACTGTGACGGGTAATAAAAACTTACGTTAACGGACTCCTCCTTTCTTTCTCTCTTTATTCCTCATCTCAAATATATAATGTGATACCAAATAAAGTCGATATTGGTAGGTGATCAACTTACAACTGCCCAACCTGAGTACAGTCATCGAAGGGGATCTGAACCGAGTGGCTGCCTTCATCTGTCTCTAGACCGATCTGTACACAGTAGTCAGTCAGTCAGTTAGTGATTTTGTCCATATATTCATTCATTCATTGTAGGGTTGTAACCAGCTGCGCTAGGTAGTCAAGATAGTTAGGATAGAACACGTACAGTCGTACTCAACCTCGCACTCCCAACTCCAGCCAGAAGCAGCGTGCTCAATAGAGTGATGGCTTTCAAAGAATACATGATAGCGATAGCGATAGCTGGATGATTATGACGATGATATTCGTATCTATCTCACTGATAGGAGTCAACTGATGATAAAAAAAGAGACACTCAATCGCATGCAGCAGCAATAGTGCAGAGAACAGCGTAGCGCATATTTAAGAATGTGTCCGTCCTTCCCAAGGGCAAAATGCCAGGTTTACTTACATAACTCGCCTTCTTTTCCGCGTACGGCGATTCACTCATCCCTTGCTTGGGGAGGTGGGAGGGGAGGCAATTCGCGTTCAATCCCAATCCAGGGGGATGGGTGGTTCCTTTCCTTTTGCCCAGCCACGCGATTATTTAGATTGCTAGCAGCGTTTGTATTACATTTAGTAATTAGGGACTACATATGCATGTATGTATGCATGTATGAATGCATGCATGCAGAGAATATTCAAGGTTTGTGCTGGTTGTGTGGGTGGGTGGCTTATATGTGCCTTATGGCATCCACGGGTTAATCGGTGTTCGTGTGGTATTGAGGGACTAGGGTGGATGTGATGTGCTTTGTGTATAGAGAAGTACCTTGTAGAAGGGATTTATAACAAGGAGGGTTTGGGAGTCAAGGAACGTATTCATAAACTCTGTTTATGGTTGCGGGTGCATTACATACACAAGGGGTGGATTTGGAGAAATACAATACATTCCATTTTCCAGCTTGAAGAAAACTCGTTCAATTGAAGTACATATAGATAGAGTATTATGTAGTGGCATGTGGTAGCATGCGGTTTGTACCTAGGGGGTGCTGATATTGGACTTAGAAGAAAGTAGTAATATCTAACTCTTGATCTCAGTGCGTGATCGCTGGATATCCATGCCTCATCTACTAGTCTCAGTCCAGACTGTCTATAAATTTAGCGCAATCTCTGTTGGATGTTTAGGTTGTCTTTATTCTGTAACTTCTTAGGGCAGTGACGGTGGTATATGAATATATATATATATATCTGTATGGGTGAGTGTGTGTATCGCGCAGAGGGGTAGTATTGCTATGACGTTCACTATGAGTTCAACTACCAAGTCATAGCTACACTCGCGAAGCAAAAATATATCAGGTTTTAGTTTTATAGGCGGCGGAGCATGTTGAAAGGTGCTCCTCTGACGAGTCATGTAAAGCGAATTGCACACGCTATATTGAATATAAAATAGATGCATGCTAACGACAGCTAATTACCATGTCCATCTTCAAAGTATATGCCAGATAATTCATAGTCTCAAATGAACACCGAAAAAAAGAGCCAGGGAACAACATGTAAATATGTCAGAGCAATGCATGAAGATCCGCCAAGCAAGAACAGAATAGAACCCAATGAAAAACCCCAACGCCCTAAGCCGCTCACACATCGCGAGAACGCCGGCTATATGCAACATGATAAGTGGCAGTGAAGAAACAGTCAGCTAACGGATGGCCAATCAGTCGAAGCCAGGATGATCCATCAATCCATGCGTTGCTGGAGTGTTCTCCGCCGGGTCCGCCAACGCTGGCAACTGGTACCGTTCTGGTACCGTCGGCCACGCATCCACCCCATCTAACAGGGCCACAGCTAACCCACCGCTCTCGTGCATGGACAGATGACAGTGCATGAAGAACGGACCGGGGTTGACCACATGGTAGCGGATCGCTAACCAGCTATGGTTCGGTGTCGATGCCGGCGTCTGGAAGGTGTCGCGGAGTTGAGGATTCACCAAGTTGAGACTATCAGGAATTTCTTTCATTGCCTCAGCCACAGTAGACCACCTCCATACCCCGGCGCCCCACCCAAGGACAAAGAATTTGTTGGAGTGTTTGTGGATCGGGTGCTGCGGCTGCCCGATCGAGGTCATATTGAAGATAATGTCTACCCAGGTGTTGTTCTTAGTCATGACAGTGTATTCGGCCGGGATTGAGGAGTAGTTAAAAAGTGCAGGGGGAGTGAGATCCTCATTGGCCATGGGATAACTGGCTTCGCCGAGGGTCCATCGATAGGAGGCGTTATAGAGGTTGACTTGAAGGATCTGGGTCTGGTCTGGCTCGGGAGCAGGCGCCTCCTGTTCAAATGGGACGATTTGGGCCTCGTCGAGAATGATAGTGCCGTTGATACCAGCCGCGGTACCGACCTCGTTGATGTAACGTGTGGAGGTGTTGAACTGGCTTGGATTGGAGCCAGTGTAGGACATCAGGGCGGTGCCGTTGATGATTTGGTTTGCGAACTTGTTAGCAACGCGGACGGTATATATGCTAATGGGCTGGTCTAGCTTCACAAGGACCGAGTACCGCGATCCGGCGTAGACGTTGATAGCATCGACCACCAGGGGATCGACATAGCGGCCATCGACCGCATAGAGATACATAGGATGTTCATCGATGGAGAAAACCAAGTTGGACGTGCCAGGTAAACTGATGAGGTCGTAGCTGACGTATCGGGTCCTCGGGTCGACGGAAAGCACTTCCTGCTCCCCAACGGTCGGTACACAACCCTGGTAGTACCCCGGCGGAATCTTGGTTATATTGAACGGGAATCCGCCCAGACGGGCTGCAAGGGGTGGCATACAGCTGATACATGGTAAGTGAATCGGCCGATAACATGCAGCGATGTTGGCAAGAAAGGAAGGAAAGGAATTAAGAGATTGAGAATGAAGAAGACAATAGACTTACCCCGTATCAGACATGGTGTTATTTCCAAGCGCAGTCCATTCACCCGATCGGGTGAGGTCATTGATGTGGTCTTGCGGGGGGCAGATGACCGACCCTTTACCATTGACCAGGATGGCACTAGTACAGGTCGCCTGAACTCCAGAGTCTTCTTCGATCTGCAAAGTCTCCTCAGACGTGAAAGATCGCCAATCGGAGAGCATGATTGGATGGGTGTTCTTTTCAGCTTGCAGCATGGCTTGGAGTTCATACGGGATGCTGCTGATCTTGCTAAACGGTCTCTGCACGTCTGCACGCGGTTCCACATAGATGGCACCATAGAGACCGTCGTCCATCTGGGCTCTTGTGTGGGCATGATAGGCATAGGAGCCGTAATCGGTGGCTGTCCATTCATAGTAGAATTGTTCACCAGGCTTGATCATTTCTTGATTGAGACCCGGGACCCCGTCTGACCATGGGGTGCCATACTGAGGGATACCTAGTCGGGGGTCAGTATCTCATCGAAAGAACAGGGCGGAGGATCGGAATAGGCGGATTGCCGCGCTGCGATGAGCTTACCGTGCCAGTGGACTGTGGTGCCGAATGGCATGGAGTTGTTGACCAGAACTCTCACCTGGTCGCCTTGGTTTACGCGGAGATTTGGTGCTGGGACTTGGCCATTGGTGTAGATTGCCTTACGGGAGATACCCGCAACATTGCTATCCTCCCATGTCAAGTCGAGTCTAAAATCCACGACGCGGGAAGAGGAGAATTGGATGAGGCATGACAGGACTGGCAGAACCAGCGTCTTAAGCTGGGACCACTTCATGCTGGGCGAAATGCCAGGAAAGGGAGCGGCGGATAAGTAATGAGTTGACTAACTCTCTCTGAGCGGATCGAGATGTGCGATGAATACGATCTGAGATCTCGATGCCGGTCGAGGCGGGACTTATAAGTTTGGAGCGCCATACTTGTTATTGTGCTTGTTATGAAGGAATTGGGGAGGTTTCGGCAGAGCTGGAGCATAGAAAGATGGTTTACCGAACTCGGGCCAGAATGTCGGCCTAAGGAGCGGAATGCAGAGGAAAGCGGTAGCGATATTGACTCGAAGGTGCTCATAGTGTTCGGAAGCATCTCTTTAGTTTTCTCCCCAGCAGGGATGGGAAGGGTGGAATGAGGCGAGGATTGGGCGTCTCCGATCTCGATCCTCGATCGCTTTCGCTTCCGGGGCTGCTCTCGCTGCACGTGATCTCTTCCACCCTACCGCAAACAAACAATCTGCTCAATTGGATTGTTTATGGCCTGTTTAGGGTCATCTTCCCAAAGTAAGTGGTAAACACTAGTTATCTCTATCTATACCAGGATGTATTAGATAGTATACTACTACTTTTACTATACATGCAGTTCCCCACTGCAACTCCCCACATCTTCGGGAGGATCCAACCCGATCGCACCCTAAAGAGAATCAATTCACTAACTGACTGGTTAAAATCCGATGAAGACAAACATCATTGCAGCGCGGTGCTTGCATCTAAGTCCAACATTCTAGACAACATTAGTAGTATCTTTTGTCTTTCGGAGAGAATTAACAACAGCAATGGTGATAATAAAAATAACAGACATGCCGGTGCGCTGAGACCGGCCCGCATAGTAGGGTTAGTCTAGCCTAGGCCCTTGCTGACCGAGAGCTGCCCGCATCCGTCCCTCCCTCCCATCCTTAGCTTTGCTCCGATCGGACGCCACTCCGTGATCATCCTCGAACAACAAGCCACTTTCATGTCATGATAAAACAAAATATTCCCCAAGTTCGCCGTGGATCCTGCGTGGTACGTATGGATCTCCCGCAAGCGCGGATGGATCGTACCGATTCCTGTTCCTCCATGGTAGAGGACCCAGATACCATGAGGCGGAGACGGTTTCGGCCATCCCCTTCTCCCTGCAAAACAAGGCATAACAGGGAGGCCACCCCAGAATCCGTTCCATCTTGATGGATGCTTCTCACTGACCTGTACACCCTACTAGTGGGAATGCTTCGGATTCAGAACTGAAAGATTAGCATCATAATCACCACACTGCCTTGGAACTGACCGTCCGTCTCCGTTCATAATAGCACTCTTGCTTCGTACGGTATGCTAGCAGTGTAAGGCCTGCTTACAGACTCATTTATTCCATGCTATCTAAAATATCACAGCTTTTGGAGCGTTTAATCCAATTCGATGCCTTATCATGGGTGTGTAGCCAAATTTAGATCCTTGCAAATTTCCCTCTTACCAAGGCAATGAAGGTTTGACATCGCTGAACTCTACAACTAACCGATCAGAGTGTCTATCAATGGCATTCTACTTTTTTAATAGAAGTCACTAATGAGGAATTCATGTACGAACAGAATAGTATAGCAGCAGTAGTGGCGAGATCTCAGCAGAGGTTACGTGACAGAGAGCACTAGCATCTTCAAGAAAACATTCACCCGCACGCGCCTGTCCCCAGCGGAATGACTGGGCTGCCTGTACCTTAGATGCCTCAGCTCCTAGACAAAATACATCAGGTACTTTTGAATAGACATTCATCGAGCACGACAGATTCCACACTCTTAAAGTGTCTGCCATCGATCTAGGGGTCTCGGAAATTTTCTGCAAGCGCATTGTTAGATCTCCCCTTGCTTCCTCGGCTCAGTGTCATGCATGAGCCCGTCGGTAGCTTTCTGCTCCGTTCATCTTGGTCCGATACTGCCGGTGATGCTCTGACTCGGGATTGTGTGTTTGAAACAGCGATTCAGTTCAAGCTTGCCACTATTCAGCTCTGTTGATGGCGCCTTCGGAGTCGCATTCAATCGGGATCCATTGCAAGAATGACTCGGCTGACGTGCCTGCCAAACTTACTCGCTTGGTATCTGTTTCATAAAATAGCCCGCGGTCGCCTTCTTCCCCATCCACGAGCACTTCGGCTCACACGAGTGTTGAATGCTGAAGGTGGTCCAGTTCTAGACTTGGCAGTGGTGGATGCAAACAGATGCCTCCGCGGTCTATCGCCACGGCTAATCACTCGTCAACAAACGTGTGCATCAACAAGTAGTAAGAACAATAAAAATAAACAAGTGAGCACAGCAGAGCAGTAGAGGAAACCATGTACCAGGGTCATATTGTCCATATTGCCATGAAAGTGGGCATGATTCGAGAACAGAATCAGAATCCCGTGTTGAACAATAAATAATACGTCACCCGGTCCCGCCTTGAAACCTGGCAGAGGCATCAATCAACTCTCATGCCCTAGCGGAAATTCATATTCAACGCACAACCACGCCTCGTTCTTAAGGGGAGTGTAATGTATGAATAAAGATTGGAATCTGGTCATAGTCACAGCATTGATATATCTTGGCAAGCTAGCCATCAGTGGTTTCATCATGGTAGTGTTAGTAGTTCTTACTAGTTGATAGTATATAGTAGTAGACCACGCTATGCCTGTTACACTTCGGAGGTCGGCCCGTCCAGCCGTCATCCTCCCCAGCATCTTCTCTCCCTCCATGATACTCACTAGTATGGTTCTCTTTCATTCCCCTCAATCAGTTGATAGTATTTTTGAAGAAGCTAGGAAGGATCCGACCAATTTCTTTCCTTGATGTCCGTACTACCCTCCCCGCTTTCCCCACTCTCTTTAGCGCGGATTTATCCTCCTTGGCGGACATCCAACATGATCTATATAAACATCCCATGAACCTCCCATCCTCGCTGCTGTCTGCCTCCAAGCTGACATCAATATCATTCTCAAGCTAAACACCACCATCCTTCTTCAACTTGTCGGATAAGTTCAAACATGGGTTCAGCAACAACCTCAACCTTGCCTCCGGACTTTCTCTGGGGTTTCGCGACTGCCAGGTATCCTTCCATCCGTTTCCTCCCCCCACTCAGCCCATACTACACCCCAAGTAGTCAACTACTAGAGTACTAATTCAATCATCAACAGCTATCAGATTGAAGGCGCCGTAGCTGAAGACGGCCGTGGCCCATCCATCTGGGACACATTCTGCAAAATCCCGGGCAAGATAGCCGGAGGCGCCAACGGAGACATAGCATGCGATTCATACCACCGTACAGCGGAAGACATCGCCTTGTTAAAAGAATGCGGTGCCCAAGCCTACCGCTTTTCAATCTCATGGTGAGTTTAATACCATACCATGACAAACGTTCATTTCAATCACAACCCCGAACGTCGTTCTAAACCATCCATCCATCCAGGTCGCGCATCATCCCCCTGGGAGGTCGCAACGACCCCATCAACGAAAAGGGAGTGCAGCACTACGTCAAATTCGTCGACGATCTCCTAGTAGCGGGAATCACACCCCTGGTGACACTCTTCCATTGGGATCTGCCCGATGAACTCGACAAGCGCTACGGTGGACTCCTGAACAAGGAGGAATTCGTAGCGGATTTCGCACACTACGCTCGAGTCATGTTCCAGGCCCTGGGCTCAAAAGTCAAGCATTGGATTACCTTTAATGAGCCGTGGTGTAGTAGCGTTCTTGGGTATAATGTCGGGCAATTTGCTCCGGGTCGGACGAGTGATCGGAGTAAGAGCGCCGAGGGGGATAGCTCGAGGGAGTGCTGGATCGTGGGACACAATATCCTTGTGGCTCATGGGGCTGCGGTGAAGATCTATCGCGAGGAGTTTAAAGGTAGGGATGGTGGGGAGATAGGGATTACGCTTAACGGTATGTATGGATACTTCTTCTCGATTACTTCTCCTTAACTTTTCATATATAGGAGATTGGGCCGAGCCCTGGGACCCCGAGAATCCAGCGGACGTCGAAGCCTGCGACCGCAAGATCGAATTCGCCATCTCATGGTTCGCCGACCCCATTTACCACGGAAAGTATCCAGACAGCATGAATAAGCAGCTCGGGGACCGACTCCCCCGCTGGACCGCAGAAGACATCGCTCTCGTTCACGGCAGCAATGATTTCTACGGCATGAACCACTACTGCGCCAACTACATCAAAGCCAAAACCGGCGAGGCGGATCCCGACGATACCGCTGGGAATCTGGAGATCCTGCTTAAGAACAAGAAGGGCGAGTTCATTGGCCCTGAGACACAGTCTGCATGGCTGAGACCGTATGCGCTTGGATTCCGGAAGCTGTTGAAATGGCTGAGTGATCGGTATGGTCAGCCGAAGATCTATGTTACGGAAAATGGGACGAGCTTGAAGGGCGAGAATGACTTGCCGGTGGAGGAGCTGCTGAAGGATGAGTTCCGGACGCAGTATTTCCGTGATTATATTGCTGCTATGGCGGATGCCTATACGCTGGATGGGGTCAATGTGCGGGCTTATATGGCTTGGAGTTTGATGGAGTGAGTACTGCGATATACTTTTTTCCCTGGATGTTGTTATGTGCGCTTACTGACTGGACTAGTAACTTCGAATGGGCTGAAGGTTACGAGACCCGGTTTGGGTCGACCTACGTTGACTATGAGCATGGCCAGAAGAGGATTCCGAAGGACAGTGCGAAACAGATCGGCCAGATATTCAGCCAGTATATCGAGAAGACAGTATAAGAGTTTCAGTGCGAGGAGTGCATCGATTGTTATTCATGCTATTCATGGGTACAGCTAAGGGAATGACATTTCACGGCCGTTATGTTGTAGGAATGTTGAGTTAGTAGGACGCTTTTTAACTCTCTATCCCGAATAAGCGTAGTGGAATAGGCTACTTTGCGAGTCTCAGGGTGAGACCGACTCTGACGTGGGGGTCTACAGCTCTACACACCCCGCGGGGTTTAGGTCCTGAGGACCCTTTCAGATCAAAAGGGCCCACTCACCTGTAAAACGAGGGTCGGGTCTCCTGTCGTGACTTTAGAGGCTATAAGAGTGGCAATGCAGAGCGAAGCGTAATCGGGGTGCCACGTTCTGCTTACGACACAGGCAATTCGTATTCGTAGGCTGCGGGATTGCCAGGCCAGACCGCGGTCACATTTGAGTCGAATCGAGCAGGACCGGGCGGAGGGAAGCAGATCGAGTTGTGTGATTTTAGAAGACATCAGGAAATCAGACGAGCCGCGCCTGCCTGTGTACTGAGCCATATCGATGGTCTTAGCTGGAAAAAAACCTTAGAATCGCGAGCGGTGTCATGCGACGTTTGCGAGTCCCTCGGGCTTCCGTCGTGGCTTGAATGGCAGTGGAACCGATGAAGAGATAGAGAAACAGCGATCAGACAATTATTCGACGCTTATCTGTGATCGCATGATTAGAGAGTAGCATGACCGACGGCACTTTCGGGGCTCCGGTGAGACCCTCACGTGGTGGGTGTTTGCACTGTTTGCAGGCCTGGAAGTGGCAGGAGAATCTCCCCCGGATTCCGGCGGGGAGGAGGAAAGGAGTGCCCCTTTGCCAGCTCAGATTACTCCATAGCATCCAAATCCAACTATCCGACCGTAATATCATTGCAAAACCTCCCTCAATCATTTCTCTCCCGCATCAGCTATCATGGCATCGACCACTAGCACAGGTACGTGAGCATAAACTCAAGAGCCATGTTTTCTTGGCGTTCCTGGACACGTTCCTGGACAAATTCGCAAAGAGGCGGCGACCCACGATTTTCCCACCCTCCCCAACTCCATGAGCACTGTGAAGTTGCATGTATCATTGCATCCTTGTTCCTGTACCTCAGTTTCATTTGGCGTATGCAAACCTCCAGAGCAAGATTGTGATTGTTGGATTTGGCTCCGTGAATCCAAAGCCCACCCCCCGTGCACAGGCAGAGTGACTCATCCTTCGTTGACTGCGTTTTTGCTGTTTTCCGGTTGAGCAAACCCTTTTTCTTGTTCCCATAACCCTTTCACCCCATGATGAATTCTACAAGGCTTGCTTTGCGACTGCGACAACTGTATGAGGGCTGTGGAGTCGGTGTTCCTCATGCCCCTCGCCGTTTTCTTTCCCACCCAGTCACAAACCCATATCGACAAATCGCCTGCTTTTCAGCCACCAAGCCACCAGCGTGTGCTAATATTGCCTCTTCAGATCGCTTCACCTCTGCTCTGCATCAGAACAAGGATTGGGCAGCGCAGATTGCCAAGGAGGATCCTTCGCTCTTCCCCACACTCGCGGTCGGCCAGCACCCGGAGATCCTCTGGATTGGCTGCTCTGATTCTCGATGCCCTGAGACCACCCTTCTTGGTCTCAAACCGGGCGACGTCTTTGTTCACCGCAATATCGCCAATGTCATCCATGCCGGCGACCTCAGCTCTTCAGCCGTGATCGAGTATGCTGTCCGCTACCTGCAGGTCAAGCACGTAGTCCTCTGCGGCCACACCAGCTGCGGTGGTGTTGCTGCAGCACTGGGTAACAAACAACTGGGTATTCTTGATCCCTGGCTGCTGCCTTTGCGCCAGCTCCGCGCGAGACACCTGGATCTGCTGAACTCGCTCCCGGCCGACGAAGCCAACCTTAAACTGGTGGAATTGAATGTTTTGGAGGGTGTCAAGCTGTTGAAGGAGAAGAATGTAATCCTGGAAGCCGTACAGGATCGGGGTCTTCAGGTTCACGGGTTGATATATGATGTTGGCAGCGGTGTTCTTCGAGAGATGGACATTGATGAGCCGGAAGCGGAACTCAAGGCGCGCCTAACATCGTTCAAGACCGACGTCTAGCGGCGGGGTCATTGGTTGTATATTCTCGATTCGATTTCACCTGTTGTTTCTTTTGCTTTTCAGCGACCAGCGAGTGTTAGCAGACGTCGATATATCGTCGTTTTTTGAATAATCCATTTCCCATGAATGCTTCACCAATCATTCCAGCGAGCGTATTCATGCCATCCATCCATCATGACATCCATCAAACAGATGAACACTTGCAGTCTCAATGGTAGTCAATCAAGAACGCAAGGGAAAGATGATGCAATAATGAAATCGGATGAAGGCAAATGAAGAGTGGGCAGAAGGGTCCGTGTATGTCGGGAAGAAGAGGAGGGGAGGAGAAACAAAAAGGAGGAAAGAGAAGAAGAAGAAGAAACGCTGACACAGCAGCCTGAGAGGGAAAGCAGCCCCGAAGACTGCGAACCATTCATTCTGTTTGCTCGTCTCCGCATGTAACAGCCCTTCCTTGCCCGGATGGGAAACTCGAAGGACCTGGGTGGATCCCCGGGTCGGCTGGATGCGGTATAGTCCCGGCCGAAGCGGCATTGACTCGGGATGATCTTTGTGACTCTCACTCAGACATCCTTGTATGCTTTCGGGGTGTTATGCACCTTGAATACGGAGTACTTGGTATTTCTTTTCGTTTGTACATACCCATTATTATTCTAGGTGCCGGAGATATTGGTGATACCAAGGAATTATTGAAAGGAGTAGATTACGGAGGGCCAGTCCGGTAAGAGTACGCGAAGCCACGCCGCTTGGCGCTTTTCAATCAATACCTGAGGCAGTAATCGGCGACCGAGTGTATCTGCAACACCTAGATGAGAGCAGGACAATGCGACGACTCAGTATGTAGAGGAAAATGTTCATTAGTGATTTAGAATTCGAGTTCTTCGACTTCCATCCCGCAGTCAACGCATTTCTTGACCCCAATCCCTGTCTTGGGATCTTCAACCGATCTTCCCCACTGATGTACATGTCGTCCACCACTCCCCAAGTCATCCCCAAAATTACCACCGGCTGCTCCTTGACGGCTTCGTCGATATGCGTCGACTCGTGTACGTTTCTTGAGGTCTTCAAGCTTGCTCTTGAATTTGACCTCCCGTCGGCGCTTCTTCTCATTCTCGCGTCGCTCGAATTCCGCGTCCAATGCTTCCGGCGAACCCCATTTCTTGGCTGAAAAGGCGTATTCTTCGACCTGGTACCGTAGATACAGCATCATGTTATTCCACGTTGATTTGTGCGGGTTGGGGCGCTCAAGATGTGGGAGGAGCTCTTCATCCTGAAGCTCGGCTGTAATTTTGTCCCGTGATCAGCAAAAACGCTCAGTGGCAGCACCTGTCGCAAACCTGTGAAACCGGGGCGGGGGGATACTCACGATTTGTCAAGAGATAGTCCTCTCGTGCCTCGGTCTTGGTAAGCAGACTGTATTTGTCCGGGAATTTATCCTTGCAAGCATGGCAGACACAGCATCGGAAGGCTTCCTCCCATTTCCAGTCGATTTCTAAGCTGCCACACTCTCGACATGTTTTCTGTTGCGTCCGCTCATCCAACACACTAAGCCCTGGTTCAAAAATTCCCGCTCGATCTCGATGGAGATTCTTCAGCAGCTGTTGTCGCTCCCATTCCCTCTGCGTCATGTGCGCTGGCTTCTGCTCCGCCTTCTCATCCCGAACGTGAAGGGCTTTGTTGAACCGGTCATCTTCTTCGGTCAAGAACCCTCCCTTCGTGTCCGTGATCTTAGAGAAGTCATATTCAACGAATTTGGTAAAGTTGCGCGCCGGCTTGATGCCATCTAGTGGGCGGTTATCTGTAGAGGCCGCATCGCGCAGAGTCGCCGGAGGATCGGAGGCAGTCATGGAGGAGTAGGTTCGCTTGACACCTTTGGTAGATGAAGGATCAGCCCGAGCTTGTTCTGCTTCGCGTTGTTCCCGTATTGCTATGGCTTTCTGGCGGTTGCTTTCCTAATTTCAGTATCATGTTAGCTCCGAACTAGAGGAACCGTGATCATAGTATGTACTATTCTCCGCAATTGCTCTGGAGTCAGCGGAGTCCGCTTCGGACCGCTGGGCGTGCCCATCACCGCCTCGGGCGGGGGAGCTGATTGTTCCTCCGTCACCATTTCTTCTTGGAAAGAGTGACTGGGAGAGGACGAGCTTGACAATCGAACTGGTAAACGGTGACTATCGCAAGGGTGGCGTTATCAGGCGGGAAAATCGTCGGCGCGTTTATCGCCGGTTCGATAACCGCATACTAATCACGTGACTTTATCATATCCATCAATTCCCAGCTCGCAACAGGTTGCACTCCTCCTCGAAAGCCAGAACCCTGGAAAGCTCATATCTGCCATACTAGTAGGACTGCTTCATAGGTGGGATTCCACCTCCACACTAGGTAGGAATGGCTACTGTCGACCTCAGAGTGCAGTAACTCGCCAGTTATCCATGATATAGCTGCCAGATGGATTTTGATTCTAAACTACCTGCCCAAAGTATGCAAGGTCACATTTACTGGGAGAATTCGGTAGACTCCTCCCAGATAATCCGGATATGAACACCCCGTGTGACGGATACCCGGGGCAGAAGCAGATGAACCATTTACCGGCGGAACATGTGCCAAGGAGTTCTTGTAGCGCATGAAACCTGTGGGTCCCTAGGTTGAGTGGAGAGTTTGACTTTCTCATCTCTGCAGTGCTCTGTGTGTATGCATAATTGGAATTGCTGAATATTTTCCAAAAGGGGTTTTGTTAGTTATCATGCTGGTGGAAGGACTGCGATCTCTAAAAGTCCACTCTCAGCATGATTTCCTTGCTCATGCTTGCCGTCGACGTTAACATGGCGCTTGTGCATGGTTGTGAACTCAAATTCCGTAATGAAAGCAGTATGAATGGGCGAAGTCAGGAGTCAGACCCGGGGATATTGAATCAAAAAGTCCAAGCGTTACGATTGCGGGGTGTTGAGTTTCCAACCAGGGGCACACAATTCCAATTGTTCCGCAGCATCGGAGCATTCTCAGCAGTAGTACGGAGTGGACTTAGCCGATCAGCACCTCATTGGTGATGGGTTCAATGTCATGCGCGTGATTTTGAGTTCGGGGGGATTCCGGGGGAGATTGAACTACGAGATTCAGTTAGGCTGGGGAAAGGACTTGGCCGGCGGAAGTTCAGCGCGGGAAAGGGTTCACCCTGCCGCATCCATCCTTCGTCGAACGTTTCTCCGCCATCGGTGGCTCGCGGGGCCCTTAAAACATTCCCTTGAATTTCCCACTTCTCTCTCTCTTTCCCCATCTCAATTCCCCCTCCTCCCTCCCCCCAATTCTTCCTTTCCGAAAACAAAAACAATCATTCATTGCGATCCTCCACAAATCGCTAACTAACTAAACTACAAATCCGCCCAACATGGCATCTTCCAACAACACTCAACCTGAAGAACCCATCACCATTCCCCAGGACCGGGATGGTGTCGCCTACCTCTACGGCCACCCCCTCCTTAACTCGCTCTCTCCTCCCCTCCATGCCGCTATCTACAACCACCTCGGACTGAACTGGATTCAGATCCCCCTCTCCAGTGTCTGTGGCACTTCCGCTACCTACCCTCCCCCGTACACACGCTCCCCGCCCATCGACACCTTCCTGTCCTCCATCCGCGCCAACCCCAAATTCGTCGGCTCCTCCGTTACCATGCCCTGGAAGGTCTCCATCATGCCGCACCTGGACGACCTCACCGAAGACGCCCGCCAAGCCGGCGCCTGCAACACCATCTTCCTGCGCGACAATGCCGACGGCTCCCGCTCCTACGTCGGTACCAACACCGACTGCATCGGTATTCGCGAAGCCCTCGTCCAGAACACCGCTAACGCGGCCGAGCGGTTCGCTGGCAAGCCTGCCCTCGTTGTCGGTGGTGGTGGTACCGCTCGCTCCGCCATCTATGTCATGCGCAAGTGGCTCGGCGCTAGCAAGATCTACATTGTGAACCGTGATGCTAGTGAGGTGCAGGCCATCATGGAGGAGGATCAGCAGCGCAATCCGTCCGCGGACAAGGCGCCCTTGATTCACGTTACGGATCCCGAGGTTGCGAAGACCCTGGAGAGCCCCGCTGCTATTGTCTCGGGTATCCCCAACTACCCGCCTAAGACCGAGGAGGAGATTCGTGCCAGGAATGTCCTGACGGCGTTGTTGGGCGCCAAGGAGGATGGCAAGCCCAAGGGCGTTATTCTGGAGATGTGCTACCACCCTGTTATCTGGACCGAGATTGCCGAGTTGGCTGATGCCGCGGGGTGGAAGGTTATCGTTGGCTCGGAGGCGCTGCTCTGGCAGGGTCTGGAGCAGGCCAAGCTTTGGACTGGAAAGGATGTGGTGGCTGTTCCTGGCTTGTTGGATATGGTCAAGGAGCTTGTGGCCAAGAATTTGGCTGAGAGGCAGAAGGCTACTCTGTAAAGCTTCTTCCTTTCGCCTCCTTCTTTATCCCTTCAACATCCGACATGTTTCATGATGATTCATTCCTGTATAGACTCTCGCATACCCGGTGCATTGCTTGTAATGGAAGACCAAAAATAACGGAACGGGGCTCAGTGAAGAGAGCCCGATGATAGATATGACGTGTGTTTGATTAGGTACATACGTGGATCTGGCTGCTGTATATAGTGCAATATGATGTCTTCATGCCTTTCCTTGTCGCTTCTGTCCTGTATAGTAACTATAATGGATATTCTATCAGTAGTATATAACGGTGTGTATCTATAGCCGAGGTGCTCACGCGCCCGGCCGGGTATATTCCAGCTGCCGCACGCGCTTCCACACTTCGCGCACAGTGCGCTCCTGCGTCTGGCGTCCGGTCTCCGTCGCCGACGGACCAGCCGGTCTATTACAGTTAGATGCCGTACTAAGCCACAAGGCAGAAAATGAGTGTCACATACCTAATGGCAAGGTAGAGTCGGCTGCCGAGTCGAACATCCTCAATGGGCGCAGTGTCCGGATCCTCCGGGGGATTGGCGGTTGTGACCAGGCCGCCTGCCTCCAAGAGAATGGCGATACCCGCTGCGACGTCCCTACCCACCACACTCGGATTAGCCAAACATCACTCTGAGAGATGAAAAGATTCATGGAAAAAGCAACGTACCACTCCCAGCAACCACCCTCCCACCAGATATCAAATGACCCCATAGCCGTATACGCCAAATCTAACGTAGCGCTTCCCAGACTCCTAACTCCGTGCACCATACCTCCCTTGCCACCGCGACTACCCAGCTCTGCTGCTAGGTTCACAAAACTCTCGATCTTGCGATGCAGGTTCCCGTCGGGGATGTCGCGACGGTCCTTGCCCCATTCGCAGGATAGAATGCACTTGCTGGGAGCATTGGGAGGCATGGGTGGGATGGTCGGATTGCGGATGAGCGGGAGACGACGCTTCTCGTTTAACCATGCGCCGCGGTTCAGACAGGATGAGAAAAGTTGATCCTGAAAAGGAGCGTAGATCACGCCGATGATGGGACGGTGGTTGACAATGAAGCCTATGGAGACGCAGAACATGGGGAAAATATGTGTGAAGTTGACGGTTCCTGGTCAGATAAGGGGAGTTATTTCATGTCATGATGACAGGGAGTGTGTATGGCTATGGCTATTACCATCTAGGGGATCAATGCACCATGTTGGATGCTCGTCGATCAGGTAGTCGCGCGACTGTCCTTTGGCGTAGGACTCTTCGCCGAGGAACCTAAATGGGTCAGCTGGGGGATGCTCTTGAATTGGGGAATGACTCAGGAACATACTTATGTGTGGGGTATTTGGATTGGATTGCGTTCTTAATGAATACTTCTACTTCTGTACAGGGCAATCCATTGGTGAGATGCGAGTCGATGGCAGGCTGAGGACGGGTTAGAGCATACCTTCATCGGTTTGGGTGACAATGTCGACGGCGCTGTCCTTCTCCTCAGCTTCCTGCGTGGCTCCACCGCCGATGCGCTTCTCAACACTTTCCATCAGAATTTGACCGGCCTTCCGGCCCAGATCGACCGCAAAGGCGTAGATCTGGTCCAGCTGCTCTTGACTCAGCTCCGCGGCAGCCATTTTTGTGGCGGGGTTTCTGATCTTGGGGAGGCGGGGATGGTGCGTTAGTCTACTCTAGAGATAGAGCAGGGGAGCCACAGAGAAGTATAGGTAGGAGGAGGGAGTGGAAGAATGGAAGAGAGAAAGAGCGAGAAAGAGAGGAAGAGAAAGAGAGGAGAAGTGTAAGAGTCAGACACAGAGAGAGAGAGAGAGAGAGAGAGAGAGAGTCATGGAGTCTCTCACCGGAGACGCCGCCGATAACCGCCCGGCCCTTATCGGTGGGGCTGCCCCTCAAACTCCGGAGTGCTCTGGATGCCAATCGCTTCAGGGCACAGGAGATACATACTGAGGCCAAAGATCTCTCCCAATGATTTCAACAGGTTCTAGGGCTTGTAATCCTCTTATCAAGCTCCAGTAGAAGGTAAAGGAAGAGTGAGAGCTAATGGATAAGCCAGTGAGACTGCTAAAAGGTGATTTTACTAAGCGAGGCCGCATAACTAAGTATTAGAACATCAACCTGTCACACATGTTTTTGTCCATTTTGTTTCTATAATAGCCGGCAGACAATGGACAATTGGCAGAAATAGTCTTGATATGAAGAGCCAAGTTCTTGCAGGATGTGCAGATGCGATAATGCAAATCGGTAGAAGGACACTTGCTGGCAATGCTTGTTATCCATTTGTGACAAAAATACGTTCGAATAAAATGTATTTGGCTCTACGGACGAGACTCTACAAGTATCAATGAAGCTGCATCACAGGTGTATACCAGTGTCTGAGTGAGGCGATTACCCTAATTACCCTCTGGCTCTTGAATGAAAACATGTGAGTATCTTGACAACTAGTTTGCTATGAAATACTCTACTAACCAGCCTTCGGTCTTTGGGAGAGGCCAGCAAACAAACAGATCATTGAGAGAACAAGAATCTGGAGATATGTGAGAGAGTGCTTCCTTCATGGCTGATAATGGTTACTGTTTGCTGTGAAAAGCAGCCGAGACTGCTGCAAACGGTTAAAATGGATTGATGCGGAGAATGGCAAATTCCAGTACAGAGTTCACAGACCACAGCTCTCTGGCGCGAACTCGGCCTGGCAGCACCACTAGTCTCTCTGCGGCTGATTACCCGCAATTGAGGGAGCGGATCTGAGTTTCATGACGCTGCTATATCATGAACTAAAGACCTCGACTCTTTGGTTTGACGGTTGACGACGGATACTTGGCGGCTAAGTGATCTTCCCGCTCCGCTCTTCTACCCCGGATGTCAGGGGAAAGACCCCAAGTAATCGGCCTTTGGCACCACAATGCCACCAATCAGCCTCTACCGTAAAGATACATGATCTAGAATACCTCTCTTGAGTGTCTTCTGAGAATTGCTGGGTGCATCTAGTATCAATGGCGGTGGGACGACCCGTGGGATCCATTGAGGGTGGGTCTTGTGGGAGAGGCTGAGCAACGCACGGAGTTCATCCTAATTAGACTCAAAGTACATACGGCGCATAGTAGGTAGATGAGAGGAAAATTCGCTAGCTATTCGCCCCAGCCTTGCTGCTACCCACTAGTAATGTGTATCTCATCCTACATGGTAGGAAAGTTGTCCGAGCTTCTCCTTCTCAGCTGGCACCATAAATCGTGTATATATCTTCGTTCGCTACTACTATTACAACTGTAAAACAAGCCTACAGAATGAACGTTGCACACTCGGAGTAGACAAGACTGAAGACTATGCGTCCCGAGAGATGGTTCTTGCTCAGGGTTCATTAGGTCCGTCGGCTGCTTCTGGATCAGCCTTGTCATCACAATCCCTGTCCGTTTGACTTAGTTGCCGCCCCTTCGGTGCAACAGTACTTCTATTCCAGCGAAAATAACGCAGTTCTAGGTGCTAGGCTTGCACGTTCGGGGGCCAAACCACCAGAAGTCAATGGATTACATTGGCTTCGTGCTCTATACTGGAGGAAATGTGCTGGCCCCCAAGTCCTGCTCATACTCGATGTGCACCTTCAATGTCGCGGTAAGTAGTCGGTGCAATTTTATACCCTGGTAGTTTTTGAAACCGCCCCAATACTACTGTCCTAGAACTACTACATGAAGTGTCTTGCTATTTCTCTATACTAGGAGGTCAAGGAAATTATATATAGCCTTGTCATGCCCTCCTCATCGCTACTGACTTTAGGCAATCATTCATTTAGAATCTCGCGTTTATCCGCTGTTGCTTTCATTACTCTCACTCTCCTTCAATACGCACAAATTCACTCATTACATTTTATCATTACAATTGTCAATCGTTACTTTGTCATCAACACATCCATTGTCAAAATGTGGCCCAGACATATCACTATCCAAAAGGCCTTTCTTCTAGCTTCTTTGCTCCTCGCATCTGGGGTCTCAGCAGCTGCTATCCCCGCGAGCCTTCCTGACCCGGCATCAGTCTCTGTGGCACCAACCAACACGCAAGTTCCTACCGGTCAAGGGGATGTCAGTCCAGCCTCACTCCCTTATGAAGGCGTCCCAGACTGTCAGGTGAGTACTAATAACCCCTGTTAGCTTTGCTCTTGCTGAACTCTAACCCAATGATCTCCAGACTTGCCGTGAAGGCGAAGATGATGAACGGACTACCGACGAATCCGCAGCGCAGATGAAACGAGAGAGCGACACTATCGCAGCAAGTATGTGCTACTTAACTCATCTCCCCATTCCCCTCTCAGTATATTCTGGGTTTGTGCTACCGCGAAGCTAACAAAATCTGAAAATCTGCTTCAGGAACTGAGACTAAAGAGCTAACTCCCGAGGAGAAAAAGGCCGAGGAGGAAGAAGCCAAGAAGTTAAAGCAGGAGGCTTTCGAAAAGTGTCGTAGGTCCGCGGGCTGCGAGGCATATTATATCATAGAGCATGTAATGTAGTAGCTCCGTTGGCAGAGCTGGGTACAATTGGCGCAAGGCTAAGTTGGAGTGGTGAGATAAGATCAGGATGAACTGGAAATGGTACTTGCTAGTACGTGGAGATCATCTGTACTTATTAGGCTCGGATGATTACTCGAGTGAATATCGAAGTTTGAAAACTATCTCTTTTTTCCAGTTTCTCGGTCACTAGCGCAGACATCACAGTATAGTGGGACGACCCAGAATATCGAATATGATACTAATTGAAATGTAGCCTAGTCATTATTTACCAGCAAACTGACTAGCTTCATCAACAGGAGATAAATAGATAACATTGGACATGTGTGGTTGAGTGTGTAGCATCCCTTGCCCCCCCATTCAAAACCCTTGTATATAAATAAGCACTACTAGTAACTAAGCGCCAAAGGCTTGAGTTGTTAATGCTCCGGCCCCCACCTGGCCAATATTGGCGTGGCTCACATGTACTAGTTACTAGCAATAGGCCCCATGTATCAATTAATCCTGGGCCACAACGCGCTCCCTTGATCAATCAGTCTACTGCTATTGAATAACGCCGGACAGTAACGGATTAATCATTCTGCATTATTCTCAACAATGGACTAGTCCACGGCTACATGTATTGAATGCTGGAAAGGTCGTGAATCTGGAAGTAACTTCAAAACAACTTGACATTTAGATACCTCTATCTATCACACTCTAATTGCATGACAGAAAACCTCTTAACATGATATAACCGGCCGAAACCATAGCCCAAGCACCAAACCCTCCAATCAAGCCTTGATCTCAGCGTACAATTTAAGCACAAAATCCCGACAATTGTTAAAAAGGGTGTTATATCCCTTCTTATTCATCTTGGCGGCAATCTGTTCCCCATATCTCTCGATCTCCGTGTTATCCACGCCCGACCTAATCTTACCGAGCACCTCCATTTTAGTCTCGCTCCAATCATACCAGCTGCTGGCACCACGGTCCGTGAACACAATCTTCTTGCCCTCGAGCTGAATGTCCCAGCATCCCGAGGAAAACCTGAGATAGGTGACGCCACCTTCTTTTTGCTCGGTCACATAGCCTGCAGCTATCAGGTAATGATCGGGGACCTTCTTGCCGGCGACTCGAGCTCGTTCACTCCCTAATGAGATTGTTCGGTCAGATTTACTGCACTATGCACCTGGGATGATAGGATGGCAAGCTGGGGACGGAGAATTGCTGGTACATACTGATTTTGATGGCATAGCCCTGGCCAACTTCTGGTGTTTTCCCGAGGGCTTCCTTGAGCTTCTTGTATTTGGCATCCTCGGTGACTTTTGCAGCCCGTTTCACCTCGGTCGTCGGCTGGCGTGTAGTCTTGGATGGAGCAACTTCATCATCTGTAGGTCCGCTTAGGGTGTCCTCCTCTTTAAATTCGGAAGTAATTTCATTCGCATCAATGTTGTCCCGCTCTGTCAGGGACGAGGCTTCGTCAACAGAGGTGGAAGGCTGGTACCCGTGGGGGCCAGTGATAGATTCCGCATCGTCGTCTCGCTCGGTCAGGAAAGGGTCCCTGTCAACGGATCTAGGAGCAGCATTTGGCTGGGAAGCAATAATTTCCCAGATGCTCTTCGGGGTACCGTCTTCATGGCAGGTCTGGAATTGGATTTGTCAGAACTAAACAGCGACAAAAGGAAAATAAGAAGAGAAAAGGAAATGCATTGGTACTCACCCGACAGGTCACACCTACATTTGGGTCGGAGGTTAGGCTTCCATCCGCTCCAGTTGTAGGGACGTGTGTGTTCGTCGGAACATTAGCAACAAATGAGGGTGTCGTCAACTCCGAGTTGATTTCGCTTGGCGGTATAGCAGCTGCTAAGGCACCGGGCGTTAGGAGCAAAGAAGCCAAAGCAAAGGCCTTCTGATTAGTGGTAAGGTTGAACCACATTTTGTCACCAAATAGGCCGACGGCAAGGATATTCCGGAATTATAAATAATAACAATATAAGAAAAGAACGAATTGTCTATAGAATGAGTGTGATGAGAGCAATGGCTGATAGTAAATGAGTGTTATTCAGTAGAATGAACGGATGGATGAACAACGAAGAGGAACAGACAAACTGGAATTATATAGATTTACCGCTCTTCTATGTATCGAGGCAATGCATTGAAAGGATTGGGGCGATTTTGATAGCTACCAGAGTGGTATCGCGCTGCATTGGACTATCCAGTGACATATTGAACGAATATTAGGGGCTGTAAAGTCATATTTTCGGCTTTGGACGGGTCAGATCAACTAGCATTCTATACCTGGATCCTGGACCAACAGAATTAATCTGGATTGAAGAGTCCTACAGGCGTTTAGACGGCGAGGTCCCACCGAGTATTGGGGGCGGGCAGCTTCAAGGTCCACTTTGCTTCTGAATTATCACTTGTTCCATTATGAAACCTTTTGGTATTAATTCCATAGTCCTTGGAGATAACAGGGCGTGGACTGGTTGATCCATTAGTTGACCCCGGCTAGAAGTACATGCAGGTTATTATGACTTCCAATGCAGAACCAATACACTTTGGATTTAGATAGATGATACTAGATAGCAGACATGTTACAGAATCACGGGGTTTTCCCATTGTTGTATAGGGATTAAGGATGATCCGCAGGATTCCGATAAATTTGGCCCCTATTAGGATCGCCTAGCGCCTCAAGGTACAGCGTTCATCATTTTCTCAAAATGGGGGCATCTTTCAACCGTTACTTGGCAGGGGTGCACAGCCCAGTGGTTCTGTGATCCTTCCAAGATGACGTGAGGTAAATTTTGTGGTAAGCTCTTTGATGTCCTGTCATTAATCGAAGCATGTGAATAAGAATTTCCGACAGTCGATCTGAAGTTGGACTTAGAGGCAGTAAAAGGCCTTATTATAGTCTCTATACGACTCGAATGTAGTCCTCATTGAGAGCTGCTACTATACGATATCAGGCCAAACCTATCCGTTGCGCCTTGCGAGATGAACTAGCCGCAATGAACTAAGAAGGTGCCAAGTCGTGGTAGAACCCTCGAAATCCCAACTAGGTGCATGTCTAGCAACAAGGCTGAGCCGGTTAGCCGGCAAATAAACCAATATGATTGGTCTGTAGACTATCAGTAGAACAGATAGGCACCAAGTTATCTATGCAGTGGAGAGGCTCCTGGGTACTAACCTATCTAATTTGTAGCTGCTGACTTCTCCGCCTCAGCCGCCTTAGCCGTAGCCCCCATGTCGCATTGGCCCCATTCATTAATCATTGTCTCCAAGGTGATCCATAAGTCTTACGACTCTGTTGTATGAAGAAAGGAATTATAGGTTAAACCGCTTCCTCTTCCCCTGAGGGACATTCAGAACAACAGTCATGATGGCCGTCTTGGATAGGGTAGCCTTCAACATACTCTTCAGAGATCAGAAGAAGAGACTTGATCAATTCCTTCGCACTACCACACCGGGTTAGTCGGTAAATGGCTGGTACTGTCAAACGATGAAAGAATGGTGCTGACTAGAGTTGTTCAGATTCTGTGCTTTCACAGCTACATACCTGTCTACTCCAAGAAGAAAGCAGCACAGTGACACCACGGGACATCTTCTACACACATAGCATTCAAGACTCGTCCCAGGAGCAGCCTTGTACGTACTCCTACCCACACGAGAGTCCACCCCAGTGAGCGAGTGGGATATCCCATACTGGATACTAGCTAAGAAGACACTTGGATATCATTCCAGACTGGACGAAAAAGAGCTTCCAAAGTTGCCTTTCTAGGAATTATCCGGATACCACCATCCCAGAGACAGCTATTGATGTCCTCTGGTCTTGCTTCTGCTTCTACGCCTATCATCCTTTCCCTCTCTCCGGGGCAGACGACAGAAAGATAGAGCTGCCAGCCTTTGAGCGTGCACTCATCCTGCTCTCTCTTCAAGGCACGGAGCTTCTCGGGATTGAAGACGACGGCTTCGGTCGTCGCTGGGGGCCTTTTCGGGAAAAATGTAACTGCAAAGTTAGGATTAATCGGATCTTTCGAAGCATCAGCATTGGTAGTCCTCATCTAACTTCACATCCACACGTCACTAATTTCGACACCCTCGTTACCGAAGATGCCATCGATGCTATGCTTACAATATGTCCTTCCCATCCCAAATTGTCTGCAACCCCCGAGAAGCTGACGCCGCTGGCGGAACGCTTACTCGAAGGGAGGACAGTCCAGTTTCAGATGAAGGTCAAAGACTTGGCTCATTTACTCTGCCTGATCATGAGACTAAGAGTCTACAAAGCGACTTGGGGCCGCGGCTTTCATTACGGTTCCTTGGAAGAGTCTAGTCCAGAGAAGGAGGAACTGGCTAACATCCTGGCCCGATCATTCAGCCATGACCAGGACGAGTTCCTGTCCCTCAACTTGGTTCTCGAGGCTCTAGGCATCTTGGTAACAATGATCTTTTTTGCTATCTTTCTACTACTCTTGTTAAATTGACTAACAATGTCGCGCACTTTAGCCAAATCTAGAGCAACGGTTCCATCAGCTTTGGGCAACACTTTTCCAACCTTCCCTGCCCATTGAGTTGTCAACTTTAGAGACGGAATCATCCCTAGACCCCACCTGGGATGGAATTCTTCGTGCAGTCTCATTGTTCGTCCCACCATTTGAGATTCATCAGAAAACCGATTTGCATCGAAAGACTAAGCCGATCGTCTTTTCCAAATGTCATGACTCGACGGACAGGTTTGATCTGGGCCATGTATTACAGCATATCCGTCATGACGATCCGGAGCATCGGTCGCATCTTGTTCTTCTCCTGGGACATCAAGGCCAGGACTCGATGAGAGTAGTTGTGGGGGCATTCTTCTCTGGCGATACGCAGTTGCCTGCTGCAAACGAGGAAAGGGAGAGTATCGCCCTTCCGCGACTTCTCTTCCAGCTTCAGCCAAGCTTCGATCTCTTTCACTTGGGTGGAAAGGTCAGCAAGGCTTTAATGCCCGTAAATGAAAGTGACACAGAAAAGACGGTCTATCATAATTGCATGGGGGAACCCACTCAATCGAGGGTTGGAGTGAGGATTGACCCTGCGACCAGTCACGCTACCTTATTCCGAGGCAATGATCCGGCCAAGAATCGGGTATCAGGACTGTATGAAAAAGTAACTTCTACTAGGAAGCATGAAGGATGTGATGCCATGAATGGGGATCAGCAGGAACGAGAAACAAGCTTTACGGTGACCCGTCTTGCTATCTTCCATGTGGAAGGCGGGCCAAATTATGGTTATGATTGATCCCTTCGTGAACTTACTACTACTAGGTTATGATGATATGGAAGGAAGGATGAGAGCACTGCAAAGCATTATATCAAAATCGAGATAGCATTGATTGGAGCCACTGCCCCATTAAAGATAGTAGCTATAAAATCCCGAATCTGAAATCCGACTAGATTGATAATATAATTCACTAGATGCTTCTCCCACGATTTCTGCTATAAGTCTAGACTGACTGGCTGCTTATCAATCGCTTCCCCGGCGTCTCTGTCACGTGCATGCCGAGAGTCGGGGAATTATACAAATTACAAAGTAGTATTTCCTCTACCAGCTCGCCCATTGCGTCAGAATCAGCGTGGATGATTCAATGATTTCTCCTTCCGGATATTATTATTCCCCGATTAATGTACCCCATAGTTCAAATAATTGAGCCTTATATTCAGAGGGGGCAAAAATATAAAATAAAAATATTTATTAATTGATTGATCGTTGAAGTAACTAAAAAAAAATGATTGACTGACTAATTGCGGGCTTCCGTCATTGACGCCATTCCCCGGCCAGCTAATCATCAATCCGTCTTCCTCTTCCTCAGCTTTTTTTTCTTACTTGAGAGCCCCTCCTCCGCCCCGTCCTCCGACCTTTTAAGTTCCCTTGCCTGCCAGTGGCTGTTGTTCTCCCCTCACATCAGCACTCCATGCTCTCCTGCCCCTCTCTCCGTCCTCGTCCCGCCCAGGCTCTTAAGAACCGGCTTCTTCTCTCCCCAACTTCTAGCATTCGCGCCCGCTCCTCTCCCATCGTCGCGACACCTTTGCTCCAGGGTAAAGGCATTGCTACAGCCACCCCGTCCACCATTCTTCCCCGACAAAGCACTCTGGCTCTCCGCTCCTCCTCTTCGGTCGCATCCCGTCTCTCTACTCTCGCTAGACATTTCTCATCCTCCTCCTCTGCTGCTGACGCAAACAACATGGCCCCCACTGAGGTCAAGCAATATGACTACATCGTCATCGGTGGTGGTAGCGGTGGTAGCGGTAGCGGACGCAGAGCTGCCGGCTGGTATGGCGCAAAGACCTTGATCGTGGAAAGTGGTCGCTCCGGAGGTACCTGTGTCAATGTCGGGTAAGATGCTTTTCTTCTTTCTTCCTTCCTTTCCCCCTTCCATTTGAGATAATCTGGTCGTTAACGCAGTATCATCCCTGCAGCTGTGTCCCCAAGAAAATGACCTGGAACTTCGCCTCCATCAACGAGACTCTCCACGTCGCCAAGCACTACGGCTACGACGTCTCCGAGAATGTCGACAAGAACTACCGCCACTTCAAGGAAATCCGCGACTCCACTATCAAGCGGTTGAACGGAATTTACGAGCGCAACTGGGGCCGCGAGGGCATTGATCTTATTCACGGCCGCGCCGGTTTCGTCGAGCCGAAGACCATCGAGGTGACGCTCGAGGACGGCTCCAAGGCACGGTACTCGGCCCCTCACATTCTGATTGCGGTCGGTGGACGGCCCAGCATCCCGGACATCAAGGGCGCCGAGCACGGTATCACCAGCGATGGCTTCTTCGAGATCGAGGAATTACCTCCCAAGATTGCCGTTGTCGGTGCGGGATACATTGCGGTGGAGTTGGCCGGTGTCATGGGCGCCGTTGGATGTGAGACGCACATGTTCATCCGTGGCGAG